ATAGTAGTAATTATCTTCATAATATTTTTTGCCGGACCAGCTGACAGTCAAATGGGTCAAGAGGGAAGGTGAGGATCAAGAAAATTGTACACAAGTGGTTGAGAGAGCTAAGTTCTCATGGAACAGCAGCATTGATCTTTATTTCAGACAGCCTCTGATACATCTCTATCAGGAACTTGGCACATAAAATCATCCATTGTAATTGCAAAGAACATATTCCCAAGATCATACATTTCTTAGATCATAACAAGCATAGGAAGCATAGTATAGTGAAAACAATGTTACTTAGATCAGTAACTGGAAAAAAGAACAAAGTGGAAATAATAACAAAATACACTAAAAAACACTATGATCATTCCTGTATACTCTATTGATTTATAAAGGATGTGATGTCCTACCTATACCACACAATCACAATACATCCATTTCTCATTAACTTCTCTTGCAAACTGAGGATGGAGAAGTATTAACATCTCTATAGGCTTGGGTTGGCGACATAATGACTACTCCACATACTAGGGGTGACGGGACAGAGAGCTATGCCCAGTACACTTGGCTCTCTGAGTGAGGCAGCTCCCAGGGCTACATTCACTTAAGGACCCTGCATAAGCAGGCATGCTCCCTGCAATTTTCTACCACTCAAAGTACAGAGCCCTCATGGTGAGATTAAGGCAATTTTTTCAATAATTTGGAAAATATTTCCTGAGGGATCAAACATCCATATCCACTAATTGTTTGTTCTCGAAGCTTCCATCTTTAATAGCTGTGAACATATGGTTCAACTTGTTTATTTTACCCATTTCCCTTTTACCGAATTTGGGCACAAGTGGGAGAAAGGGGCTGCTTTTAGAATTCTGAGAATCCCAAATATGTTTTGTTCTCTTAAAAGGTATCATTTCGGTTGACAGCTTAGTGTCTCTAATAAAACATGCTCTCCGAAGCTGGGCAGATGCCTAGCACTGGAGGAGTTTCATTTCTTTCTCAGAAAACTCTGCCCTCCGTAGGGGCTGTCAAATGCTGGGCTGAAAGGCTTATAACCGGTCCTGATGATAAAGAAACAATGGGGCCCATAAAGGTGGGACTGTGAGAAATGGCAGGAACATGGGTTTAGTTCTGTCTTTTTAGGTTAAACCATCAATCCACTTCTTTTTAACTTAACATTGGAACTTCAAAATGATCCCATTTCCTCTTGATTCTTACTTCATTAATTATCCATTCCTTTTCAATTTTTTTTGCTTCTTCTTTAATCATTGACTTCTGTTTCATTTACAATTCTTTTTAAGTGTAATTGTTTCTATCTTCAAAATGCAAAAAGTCAAAACTTCCATTTGTCACAACTCTTGTGACATACTTTTTCTTCCTGCTGCTTCTAAAATTCTGAGCAGAGCTCTACACTCATGCCTCTGAATCCTTTACCCAGCTCCCCTCTGTAGCTCACTGCAATCTGGCCTCCTTGTCCCACTGTCCTACCTGCTCAAAAGTCTACAGCTACATCCTGGATCAAGGACCTATGTCTCTCCTCTACCTTCCTGTCCTTCCTGTGTCTACTTAAGGAGAGTTTTCATGTTCTTACAACTATTTTTGTCCCCCTTAGCATTTTTTCCTTTTATTTATTTATTTATTTTGCTTTTTGGGTCACACCACACGATGCACAGGGGTTACTCCTGGCTCTGCACTCAGGAATTACTCCTGGCGATGCTGGGGGACCATATGGGATGCTGGGAATTGAACCCCGGGTCGGCCACGTGCAAGGCAAATGCCCTACCTGCTGTGCTATCACTCCAGCCCCGCCCCTTAGCTTTTAACCCAGAACTCTGGCTTTCCAGGTTACTTGGTCTTTACAATATGTTTATGTGTTTTACCCAGTATTCTATTGAGTGCCCTGTTATTTTCTGACAGATTTAAAGAAAGTTTGTGTATTTTTTAATAACTATAAGAAATATTTTAAATACGGTGGCATATATTTCTCACTTTTTATATATTATAATATTTACAATTATATAATTCTTAAGCAGATGTGAGGCTTTGAGAATCCTAACTAATGAAATAACAAATAAATTTATTATGATTTCTTCTAATACCTTTACCTGCCACATTTTACTTTAACACTGAACATCAAGGGCTCAACTTCTAATACAGATAAAATAACCACAGGTTAGAAATATCACCATTATTATATATTGAATCTCATACATATGTGTGTGCCTGTGTGTTAGTACATAACAATTTATATTTTATTTTAAATTTTTATTATTTTATTATTTTATTTACAAGCATGGGCTACATCCTTCACACTTTCCATTATTCCAGAATTAAGCTGAGTGACTATTAGTGATTGTGGCATTAGTGAAAATGTGCAAATTCTCAGGATAGTTGACAAAATTAGGCAGTTTCCATCTTGGATCACTTACAATGGCGAAAGCCATGTCATGAGAATAATGAGGAACTATGCTTTCTACTGATTCTGTCTGATTGAACTTGGAAACAGATATTCCAGACTATTAAAATTTTTAGAGGCAGGAGGATTTGGAGAGCTAGCACAGCGGGGAAGGTGTTTGCCTTGCATGTGGCTGACCCTGGTTCGATCTTCAGCATCCCATATGGTCCCCAGAGCACCGCCAGGAGTAATTCCTGAGTGCAGAGCCAAGAGTAACCCTTGTGCATCGCTGGGTGTGACCCAAAAAAGCAAAGAAAAAAAATTTTTTAGAGACAGTAGCTTTGGCCAAGATATTGACTGTGACCACATGAGATAGATCCTAAGTCAAAGTCACCCAACAAAGACAACTCTGGATTCATAATCTTCAGTTTAGAAACTACATAAAAGGGTTGAGTTAATTATTAAAGCTGTTAAATGGGGGTAATTTGTTATGCAGCAACAGATAGCTAATACGGATTTTTATAAGCTAAGCTTTTTTCTCAGCTATTGTTCTAAGCTATTTTTATAGATCATTTCAGAACTTGTTTTCTCTCTCTCTCCCTCTTTTGTTCATGGAGCATTTTAGAACTCATTTCCTTTTACTCCACCCAGGAGAATGGTTTGCTATACTTTTGATTAGTGTCATTCCTGGGAGAGCAGGCTTTGCAGTGTGAATATCAGTGGAGAAATAGGGAAAAATAATTGTCTCCTGTTGGGGAAATTAATCTGTACCCCATCATGGTGCATAGAATAAAAAACATGTTTTCTCTCTTTGTACTATAATATTTATAAGAATTTGGTGTTTCTGTTTTACTAATAAAATATAAGTAAAATTTTGTATTTAAAGGCACAAGATATCACTAGAATATGACATAATGAATTATTTTGTCATTTTGTGAGATATTGTGTAGGCTGTTACAGAAGGTTTAGAGAGTTTTGAAAATGCAATGACAGTCCAAATCCAAACTGATTCATTGCCATATTTGGCATGTTCTTTAATTTTTCTCAAAAGAAAGTCAGTATAATGAGTCATAATTGACACAAGCCACAAAATGCACTTTCAGCATAGAATGACTCCACTAAAGCTTAATTTTGTTCATCTCATTTCTTATTCTAAGTAATTAAAGTCTCAATAATAGAAACTCCAAAAATAAATGGAAAAATTTAGGAGTAATTAATATTGGAAGCAATACAATTCCTTCTCAAGTATTGTTTTTAATTTGTGTCATTTCTTTTAAAATGAAGCATTATATGATAAAGCCATTTATATTAAGAATAGTCTAAAAGTTTATCTTATTTTTCTACTAATTAATTAGAAGGAATACTGCCTTTCACTTTATAGATGACCTTATCTGTTTTAATAGATATTATAAAAGGTAAAAGGTAAAGGCCCTCCCGTTGATCGTCGATTTGCTCGAGCGGGCCCAGTAACGTCTCCATTGGAGACTTTTGTTACTGTGTTTGGCATATCGAATACTCTTGGTAGCTTGCCGGGCTCTCCGAGACAATTTAAAAATTCAAAAACTGAGTTCAACAATTTAATAATAAATTTGAATAAAACAAATTAACAGTTAACTGCTCATTTCTCAAATTGATTTTATTAAACTAAACAATGGTTATTTAATAAAAAATATAATATAAGGGCTGGGAGATAGCTCAGAGGTCAGACAAATATGCATGCACTAGGCCCGAATTTGATCCCTGATACCAGGTTGCATTTTATTATCAATTTCTCATGTTTGTGAAAATATATGAGAAATAAAATTGATTTCTTTTATATAATAATTTATGTATCCAATTATTAAGAAATGTTCAGGATTATTTTTATAGTATTACCTTACCTTATATCATCATTGTGTATTTTTTTTGCTTTTTTTTTAGAAACAAAGGATTTAATTAAATCAGCATAATTAAGAAAAAGATATAAGGTCACTGCCAACTAATCTTATCAGGCTAAGAAACACAACCTAAGGAGACAGTGATATCCTCAATCTTTCTTTTTTAAAGTCCATTAAAAAGTAAGGTTTATTATCAAAATTCCATAAAACCCCAAAAGCACAATTTTTTAAAGTCATACAAAGTTTTACTGGATAGTTTGTGTTGACATACAAATATAACTCTATTATATTCCACAAACAGTAAATCTGAGATACTAAAAATAGTCTATTTCAACATATACTTAGAGTTTATATAGCATTGTAGCACTGTCCTCCCATTGATATCCTCAATCTTTAGATATATTAATATAGCCAGTTCTATAAATCTTAATAGAAAACATTCTCCCATAGGTATAAGATGGCCATCTCCATCACTTGGAAAGGTGAATGTGATGAATTAAGTTCAATAATATCTTTGGAAAGGGACAGTGATTGCACTTGCTAACATGGAATTATCATTAAAATTAAAAAAGCTGATCATACTCATTTAAAACACAAGCCAATCTTATTTAAATCAGGGCTACCCAACAAAAATAGACTATCAGTCATTCATGGTCTGAATTCTGTTGAATGAGATGGTTTAAATATGGTATACATAAAAAAATCATCAGGCGTTTGTTTTGTAATAAATAAGGCAGTGCCAACTATTATTCATTAGTAACTTTTTTGAGGTAAGCTATCAACTCTGCCATCTTGGTCTTCTTCCTAATGCCAGCGAAGATCATTTTTGTTCCAGGGATGTACTTCATGGGATTCTCCAAATACTCCATCAGCGTGTCATCATTCCAGGTGATTCCTTTGTTCTTGTTGGCATCAATGTAAGAGAATCCAGCGGTCTGACATGTCTTTAGCCAAAACGGACCGTGAAAATTGGGCCCGGTCTTGTGCTTGCCTCCCTTCTCCACGATATGGCTCTGAGCACACTTCTGGACAAAAATCTTCTTGCCCTTCTCAATATCACCCATCTTAGAATCTTGCCTTCGTCTCACGTGACACAGAGAGCCCTGTTTCTTTGCTTTTTAGGTCACACTCAGCTATGCTCAGAGGTTACTCCTGGCTCTGAACTCAGGAATTACTCCTGGCAGTTCTTGAGAGTACATATGGGGTGCTGGGGATCAAACCCAGGTGAGCCGGGTGCAAGGCAAATGTGGGAAAAATTACAAAGCTTTCAGGTTTAAGTCTCGGTCATGCAATGATCAAACACCTTTTCCTTCACCAGTACATATTTTTCACCACCAAGAACCCCAATATACCCCCCACTCCCAGCCCTTCAAATGCCTGTGAGGCAGATGAATTCTACTTAACACTCTATCTACTTTGATTACATTCATTATTTCGACAAAAGATGCACCATTATTGTTTAGAGTTTACACCCATCAATCAGAACTGCTGAAAAGGCATTGTGAAATAATTTGTTTTCTACAGCTGATTATGAGAACCATATGATGATTTTGGATTTCTGATATTTTACTTATTAAGCCTAGGGGTATTTCTGCCAAGAGCCAGATAATTACAAGATTGGTTTCTGTGGCTCTGGAGCCATGGCCGTGCCGGAGAGCCACTCGTGGGGGGTAACTTGTGACCTCGGTAGGACGTAAAGGACGAGCCAGGAACGCCCCCCTTCCCATGCGGTTGCAGTTGCCTCGTCACCACCGGCTCATACCTGGCTTTCCAAAAGGCTCCGAAGTGGCCGCCATCTTGTTGCCCAGGGGGAAAAAGGCAGAAGGGAGCAATACTCCTTCCCTCCTGGGCAGGCATGATGCCATGGATTAACGCATAGTCCATTCACTTTTCTGCCGCAAGCTGCCGGGCTCTGCATTAAGTCCTTGTGCTTCTGGAGCCATGGCCATGCCGGAGAGCTGCTCGTGTGGGGCAACTCGTGATCTCGGTAGGGTATGAAGGACAAACCGGGAATGCTCCCCTTCCCATGAGGTTGCAATTTCTTTGTAGAAAAGTTCTTTAACTAAAAGCAAAATGAGAGAGAGAGAGAGAGAGAGAGAGAGAGAGAGAGAGAGAGCCATAGAAGGAGCCTATGGGGGTGGAGCAGGGGCAGGGGGAAGTGTGGAGGGGGAAAACTGGGAACATTGGTCGTGGGAAATGTACACTGGTGGAGGGCAGGTGTTGGAACATTGGATGTTTAAAAATCGATTGTCAACAACTTTGTAATTCTATATAGCTATATAGCACAGTGATGGAAAGGAAGGAAGGAAGGAAGGAAGGAAGGAAGGAAGGAAGGAAGGAAGGAAGGAAGGAAGGAAGGAAGGAAGGAAGGAAGGACTCTTTAAGAGTGTGTCTGCAAAATAAGTTCTATAAAAGTGAGTATGCCCTTAAGCTCATAGTTTTATCTCTATCAATGTGACCTAGTAGAAAACCAAGGGGTAAATTTCTGCATTCAGACTTCTACAGCAACATTATTTATAAGAGCAACACATGGAACAAAAAATCAATAAAAAGTCCACTTAGAAAAATGTTTTATAAAATTTTAGGTTGGTCATTGAATCAAAATATCAATAGAAATATTAAGTTGCAATTATGGAGTATACATTTTAAAGTATGCTTACTGCTTCTGATTCAACAAGAAATCTTCAGCATTAGAAGGAGGAGCTTCCAAAAGATCCTTCTAATCCAGGAAGAAGGGTACCCAAGTGCTTGGCCAGAGCTCATTCATCGTGGACTTACTTGAGTCCCCTAATGAGTACAATTCTAGCATCAGGGAGCCTGGAAAATGCATATTTTTGGCTTTATATCTTTTCCTTGCTAACTATGATCAGAATACATGTTCAGTCAGGTAATCCACAAAATCTCACTGCTGGTAGGAAGTCAGTAACTGATTTTATTTAGCATAATTTTAGCAATTAGATACCTAAGGAAGGTTATCAGGCATTGAATCCACAAACATCTTTAGAATGCATAATTTCTAGATGTGGCATTTCAGAGTGAATTTTTGTATAACGAATATTTTTTCAGTGACCAATATAATATACAGTCTTTCTAAATGAATAATATTCTTGGCATCCTAATATTATAGGAATCAATTTTGAGCCTTAAAAAGATTCTTAAATAAAAATAATGAGTCTTGAGATCAATAAATTCAACTTTTAGTTTTCATTTTATTACTAAGAAGATAGATTAATTAGTAACTTGGTAGATGGTCAATTAAATTTTATATCAGAATGATATAATTGTCATTGAAATATAAAAAGTAGACTTCTAAGTTTCTTTCCTGGTCCTACAAAGCATGGAACTTTATTATTGTGATGATCACTTAACTCTTCTCATATAAATTTTATTCTGCTTAGTCTTATTTTGGGAGGCAGAGAAACCATGTGTGACATATATCCCCTGTTAATAGTTACTATTTTATAGAAATTATAATACTTGGAACATTAGATCATATGCATTTCAAAAAATTCAATGTAATGTCCTTTTTTTCTCCACCCAAATTGTGTATGTTGTGTTGGAATATCACTTACATTTTAAAATTGCTTATTGCTGGTAAAATAAGGGAGTCACTACTGATTGAATAGATGCTATACCAAACACCTCATTAGATAGTCCTGCAACACTGTCTAATTTACAGAAAACATGAAACATTCATAGCACTTAAATTGCACTGGAATATTCACAAAGAACATCCATAAAATTTTATGCTCTCTAGAATCCTGTAAGCCAGATAATACAACAATTTACCAAGGAAACAACCTTGGTCGGAGCTTAACTACGTTATCAGTCCAAGCTCAAACTTCAAGCAAAAACACTGAACAGAGTGAAGGCGACTCTGTGTTGTCAAACCCACACCATGCTTTAGCTATGACACATTGGCTACTGCACAGGAGGAAAAACCTTCATTCATTATCTGGCACCACTCTGCTCAAGTTCATTCTTGCCTTTTGCTCTAGGCAACATGGCTCAATTCCAGGCAAAACCAGCAGTTCTTCCTATTATGTTACTCCGAACAGGTTGCCTATAAAATATAGCCATCATCACAGAAAATTAATATTGAAGTTTCACCTTGTTAAGTACTCTAATATAATTGATTTATGGCAGAACATTACAATTTTAGTCTACTGTCTTGATTTATCCACAAGATTAGCTCCCGTAAGTTAAAATAGAAAATGATACTGTTTATTTTATTTTGGTTCTGGGCTAGCAGTATTCAGGGACTAGTCCTGGCTCTGTGCTTGTGGGTAACTCCTAGCTGTATTCAGGGATTGAACCTGAGCCTTTTGCATAACAAACATGCACTCAGACCATTCAGTCATTTCTTTGGCCCTGTAAAATAATATTAATTGACATGTACAAGAAAGATAGGGTTAAGGAAATTCTCTTGCACCATCATAATACTGGCAATAAAATTATAAGGGCGAATGTAACGATGAAAATTAGCTGAAGGGATAGAAGTGATAGAGTTGGGGAGGTTGCCTTGTTTTGTTTGGTTCTTATTGAAGATCAGTGCCCCGATTCTCATAAGGAACAATTGAGATGGGAAAATTAAAAGTAAGAGACCAGGGGCTGGAAGAAACTGGACACAGGTGTTATATGCAGTTTATCCAGGGGACTGAATGGTCCCTAATTTTGTAGGGAGTAATGTGAGAAACCAGAGCCAGGAGTAGCTCAGAATACTACTGGGGACTCAAAACCACATATATACAAATAAATAAAATGAAAAGACAAATGGAGACCTGGTGTGGAGACGTTATTAAAAGAGGAAGAAATCTCTTCCATATTGTCAAAAAAAAAAAAAAGAATAGTTAAATCTACTACAGAATAACAAGAGGACCAATGTCAAGGAATTAAAATAATTTTTTATACAAGGTAAGTTTTTCAAACAAAGTCAGAGCACTAAAAGGGAAGAAGGTATTAAGAAGTTGTTCATCACTGAGTATGATCACATTAACCTTTTTCCTAAGAATCTGTGATCTGTGTGTTTGTGTGTGTATCTGTCTTTGTGTGCATTCAGATAGTAGAATTAGATTTCAGGTTGTTTTAAGCCATTAAGTGTTTTTAAAAGGTAAGAAAAAAATTAAAATACTTCAGAATATTTTTTATCTGTTTGCTTTGATTAATAGGCTTTTAAAGGGATTTTTCTTTAAATTCTAATTCCAGACTTTTTTTCACCACACAGAAACAATGTTATGAAATATCTCCAACTGTATCTTCATCAAGGATAGCATATGCATTCCCGATGCCGAATAATTAGCATTTGAATTCTGGCATAAGTTTGGGGTAGCACAAAAACAAAAAAAAATCTGTTTATACTTTTATGCTTGAGAATCAGGATATGGATAATCATAAGGCACAAGTGGATGAAATTGAAAGAAAGTAGTTATCATCAACGGTATAATCCCTCAGATCAACTCTAAATAACTTAACTTGGGGGAAAACTTTTTTTAGGAACTAAATAATTAACAGCTCAGTAAATAATAAGTAATAACTTTTGGGCATAATTTCAGAATTTTAGCTAAGACCCAAAGCCAAAAATTAACTTCTGCATTTTAAAGATTTTAAAAAATCAATATAAATCTTAACTAATGAGCCCTGAGAACTGAGTCCTAAACTATAAATGTGAAAGCCAGTTAATCTAATGTGTATTACTGATTCCTGGAAATACTCAGGTATCGAAAATACCAGGTGCTTTGGAGCTAAAAAGAAACCTAGGCTTTGACATATCCAATTGACTGGAAGTATTTAAGAAGCAAGAGTTCTAAATATCTTGACTGATTTTCCATATTCAGACTACTATACCTCCCTCAATCTGATAAAGAAGTAAAGTTTTAGTTTTTGGAGTTTGTAATATAGTGTTAAAAGGAAATATTTGTAGAATAAGAGACTGATACTAATTTTAAAGTAAATTCAGGAATGAAAAATCTCTTGAAAATTAAAAGTAGTAAGAAAACCAATGAAATCAATACACATGTTGGACTAGAACAGAGAAAAAAATCTTCTGAGAAACAGAAAAGTGAATTAAATAATAGGGGGGAAATTTGAAGGTACCTTAGTCTA